CCTGGCTGCTGATCATGATCTTTATCCTGGCTTGTCTGCTTGAAAATATGGTAAGCCTAAATGTTACCAAAATTGAATAGTATTTTTACCTGTCACACAAGCTCAGGCCTTGTTTGCTTTATTCCCAGACTTTCCTTGCACCCATTCCTACAAACCCACATTTACTTTACTTCAGGAATTATGAAGGCTTTCCTATATTCTTGTGGGAATCTGTAGGTTCTCCCTCATCCAAAAGGATAATCTGTCATCACCAAAAGGCCAAAGCCACCCTGCATCCAAGTGCTTTTCTTTCATTTTTGTGAAGTGAAAAAATAGGCCCAAACCAAGCCTTGAACCTTTCAGACACAAATTCACAATCCTGCACTCTACACTGAGTCCCAAATAGGACTTTCCCAAAAGAAACTCCTCCTCCTAAGGAAGTCTTCTTGCCCCATATTGTTTGATAATAGTGTTGTGATTATTTCAGCTTCAGAAGAATTCCAGATGTATTTGTTGTGATGAACATTAAGTATGGGTGTCCGTAAGAAGGGAACAAGGCAGGGCAAATGACGTAAAACATACTGTGATATTATAACAATGTCTATGACATGACTGTGGTTTCTACCAAATACCTGTGAATGAGGAGATCATTTTCATCAGCCCGCTGGACAGAGGGTTTTTTACCACTAGATGGTAGCAAAGAGATGCCCCAACTATTTGCTACTATCTAGTTGTCATTCAGATTTTTACAATCTACCGTAGATCTATTTTGCAGTACTTATTATTTTACTGGAAAATCCGTTCATTACTTGACCCGAAACAAAGGAAATAGCCAAAATAATAAGAGATAAGATATTTCATTTATTTATATTTTTAATTTACCATATAATAAATATACTGTGTGCAGTTAATGCTTTTAAACAATAAATGGAAGTTGAGAACAGGCCAAGCTGTATTTATGCCAGTTTATTTCAGTTATAGAAATTACAGTAGAGATAAGACAAATGACTTTCAGATTGTATGTTGATTACAGCACTTGTCTGCTCTGCTCTCATGATTAAAATACATTCTAGCAGAATAGTGACATACTGGTAAAGTCAGAATGCTGTGTCCTCTTTTGATGGGTAATTAAAAAACATTGATAGGATAATGGGTAGGGTGACTTAAAGGTTGTTATTATGTTCTGATTTTAATCTGTGGATGTTAAATGAGAATTTCCAAACCTAGGTAAGCAGCAATTATTTTTTACTGGCCACTTGTTTCTTCTTTATCTTGTTATCCTATGCTAATTATGTTTTCTTTTTTATTGCAAATATTAAAATATTCTGGAAACGCTCTTTTAAACAAAAAAAAATCCTATAGAATTGATTTTGAAAGCCATTCAGGGTCTCTGATCTTCCTTCATCTGTTATTCTTTGTTTTCTAAATCATATGTGAAATATCTTTAAATAATGCAAAAATATGAAATAAATTGAAATTTTGCTTTCTTGGTGTAGATTCTTAAATATAGCAAATTCACAGATGTTAATAAGAAAATTGTGACTTGAATATTCAAGTACATTATCATAAGGTTTATTTTTCCAATGAAAAAGAAATATGTGAGACTGTTACACAAAAGATGTTTTTATTTTAAAAAGCTTAGTTATGAATATATTTTTCCTCATTCTACAGTACTCCTGTTCACATAAGCATTTGAGGCACAAGGACAATTGCTTGCCTCATTGCATTCTTCTCTACCTAGCGACTTTTCTGCATTTGGCTCAGTGGTGGGATTCAAATATGTAAACAACCAGTTGTGTGGATGCCGCTTCCGGAAGTCCATTCTGGGCCTGGGCAACAAAAATTTAGTTACCAGTTCTGCCGAAGTGGTGTAACCGGCTGAATCCCACCACTGATTTGACTGGAACTTGCATTATCTGCCAACTAGAATGGCTGATCTTCGTGCTGGATGGAAATCATATGAATTATAGCCCAATTTTTGTGCAGGTCAACAGATAGTGATGATTAAAAGATGCTTGCTTGGATGTTGAATATGGTAATAGCAAAATCACAAGCCAAAACCCTACCTTTTATTCCTTGCTGATATATTTCTTTGGAGGGTTATTTGTAACCTGAGGAAAGAGCAACTTTGAAAAGGAAAATTAATTGAGATTGCATCTGTCTACTCTATGCTAAACCATTCTGGGTATTTAAAGCTAAAATTTGTTTATTACAATTTCTTGGATAATTACTATATATCTCAAGATAAAGATGATACTGCATAGATTTTACATACTTTCCAGGGCATTTTTATTTTATTCAGAGAAAAAACAAGGAAGGACATATAGAACTGGACATACTCCAGTTCTTTCTCTGGGACTTCCTGAAAAGCAGTGTTTGGCTTTTTCTTAATGCAGAAAATTAAATGTTTGGTAGATGCAATCAGCAGCATAAGATTTTATTATAGACTTCTATGTGATGTAATCTGAAACTCACTTATGAATCGCCTTCTTTTAAATCACTCTTTAAGCCTTGGGCTTTACACCTCCCATATATTTCCTTATGTGATAGAACAGAGTCCCCTAGCCCTACTCTACTTATGGTTAGCTCAGCATTCCTCCCTCCTATATTTAGGGAACTAGAGCCATGAAATTAATGCCTGCATAAAAATAGTTTGTTTTACGTTTTGCAAATTGGTCTCAATATAGTCCTTGTAGGAAAATGACCTACGCAAAACATTGATCAAATAGTTCAATGTGCCTCTTGCAGGGGCCATACAAAATACACAAACATGTCTGTACTACCAGAAAGATCTAAGACAGCGGTTCTCAACCTGTGGGTTGCAACCCCATTTGGGGTCGAATGACCATTTCACGGGGGTCGCCAAACAACGCGATCCGCCATTTTTCCCTCAGCCGGCGCAGGGGGCGCCGCCGCGCATGCACGCCGCACAGGGGCCGCCACCGTGCATGCGCGCCGCACAGGGGCCGCCGCGCATGCGCACCGCACAGGGGCAGCACATGGGGGTGCCACCTCACAGGGGCGGCGCCACACATGCGCGCCACGCAGGGGCAGCGCATGTGGGCACCACCGCGCATGCGCGCCACGCAGGGGGCGGCGCCGCGCAGAGGGCTCATGACCGGGGTCACCGGTCTAAAAAGATTGAGAACCACTGATCAAAGAGCATTATGAACCTGAACTTGAAGGTGTTGTTTGGATTTCAAAATAGTAGAAACGAAACTAATAGAAAATATACTATCCTCTGGGTAGCCCAATTCCAAAATGTTCAAGAAAGAGGTTTATGATTATGGCTATGTACTTCCTTGGTAGTAAGTCATGCTGAATGTAAGCTTTGATACTCAGAAAATATTTATATTACCGTAGTAGGCTACAAAGCAGTTGTTTCCAAATTGTAGCTTGGTGGCAGATGAAATCATTTCATTCAAGTGACAGGGGATGCTCCCACATGAGACTTTTTACACTACAGTCCCATTGTGTCAAACACAGAATTGAACAAAAGAACTTGATCATGTTATTTTCTTTTTATGAACCGCTTGTTATTCCCATCAGTTCTGCTTCTCCCCCTCTATTAAAGAAGGAAAGGCACAATAGTTTCACATTCTTTTCAAAAAGTAATGCTAGGAATAGTTCTCTGTAAAAATCCTCAAACAAGTGCAGTTCCTATTTGTATAGTATTGGTGAGATCCCTGGAATAATCCGTTTTATGACCACCTGGGCCAATCATTCTCTTTCTGCCACCTTATCTTATAGAATTATTATAGGGGAAAAACAGGAAAATGCCACTCTGGGTTTCTGAGTGAATAACAGTATATAAATCTAAATAATACATGTTCACAGAAATATGGATACATGGATTCTGCAAAAAGCTCTACCTAGACAACTGAATCAAAGTATCTACAATTTCAGATGACACCTCTCCAATTTAAGCTTTGGACATTTTCAGCTTGTCTTTTTAAGCAAGCAGTAGTGAATATTTTACCATGTCATTTTCTGACCCATGCAATGCACTACTGTGAAATGTAGGGCCCTTATTAAGGAGGCCTCAATATTGTGCACACATACCCTAGCATCAGGGGTCAGTAGTTTTCTGCTGCTGAGGTCTATTTTGTATTAGTATTCTTGGCAACCAAGCACAGCTGTCAGGAAAGCCTTGATGTAATGCCATTATAGAAGGCAGAGAGTGGAGGTTTTAGTTAATTTCCTGCCATATGGAGAGATTTGTGGGACTTATACTTTCACTGATGTATTAAGCTTATGAAAACATCTTTATCTCCCTGCTTTCTGCTGATTTTTGATATTTTTCCAACAAATTTGAGTGCTATAAATGGGCTCCAAGGACTGCAAAAGAGAAAGAGAGCGCACCCATGGTCAACAAGCAGGGTGGCTCATTTCTGCCCACCTATGTAAGGGTTATACAATGTTCAGCCCAAAGCTTTTATTTGGCTTCCACATTGCTTCTCAGCTATCACCAGTTTTTAGTAATTAAGGTAAAGTATGCATCTTGGGTTTTTTGAATGAATGTAGGAAAGGGAAAAAGATTTCAGAAAAACACCTTTGCTATAAACATTTATAATTTCAATTTTGCTCCATCCAGCTCCATTTACCTTGCTCTCCCACCTTATGGCTATTAATCTAAAAAAAAAAAACAAACCCTGCATTACTCTACACAAATGTTTGAAGCCTTCAACTAGAATTTTGTTTAGACAATAGAGTATAGGAATGATTACCAGGGACTACTTTGCTGTATACTTCAACATCAGCTTCTTTCTCTTTCTTTTTTAAAAAGCAAGGGATATTTTAAAGAGGGAGTTAACAATTTTACAACTCTTAAGAAAATAGGAGGACTGTTCATGGGATTTTGGAAGGTAAGTAGAGACATTCAGGAAAAGGCTTATCTTATAGGAAACAAGAGCTTCCCCACTGCATACTCAGTTTGAAGGTTTTTGACAAGCCCAAGTGGCCAAGGTTATGCAGCTTGGTTCCAAATATATGGAAATATGCAAAATTTGATCAGTAATATTTTGGTGTGACAATTGTTTATTTTACTATTGCTTTTCTCATCAAGATGTCACCTTTGAGACTTGTTTTGGAGGTATCTTCTGCACAGGTAATCTTTATTAGAAACTTGTTTAGCAACTGTTTGCGGTTACGTTGGTCTGTAAAGCAAAGGAAAGATGAAATAAGATCAAAAGAGCATAGTTTTACTTAGCAACTGCTTCGTTTAATGGCCAAGTTGCCAACTGTGGTCACGAACAAGGATTACATGCAGTTCTTTTTGCTTTATAGCATCCTTGGTCCCTTTTTGGGTCAATTGCTTTGACACATCAGAACACCAAGTATTGCTTGTCTCATTAGCTTGGTTTAAGCCATCATTAACTGTCATATGGCATATAACATGAATTGAAACCACACAAACCATATATTTGTTTGGAACGGATGCAACACAATATTGTCCTTCAACAACAATATATAGGCTCCAGTCCAGGGAGATAGTTCATTAATACTTTGAATATATTGGTCTTCCCCCCCCCCCCTCCAAATGCTGCGTATTTTCAGAGTCGTCCTGATAAGCGGATCTTACCTGAATACTGAATCTCAATACAGGGTGAATGGGTAACCGTGATACGGGTGAGAGTACATCGTGTAGGACTTGTGTCTAAATATTAAAAATCATGAGCTGGTCCAAGTTTCATGCTTTAGTATCGCTACCGCTTATCGACAATTTTAGGTAAAGATCGCCGCACTTTTTTTCCCCCGTTAAATATTTAACTGTTAAATTATTTATTTATTTACCAAAATAACGAGTCATAACGGAAAGAGAGGCGAGGAAGGGCAAAACGCTACGATCCACTCTCGGAGAAACAGAACGAACTCATCAAATCCCCCTGCATCACTTAATTTGTTCTCAAATCTTTAGAAGGGCGGGATTGATATCCCCCGTAGACCATGGTAACCGTTAAGCCAATCCCGGCTTGGTACGAACCTTTCCAGGGCCAATTGCACGATGGCATTGTAAGCTCCCGCTTCGGAGCTCTATTGGCCGGTAAGCACGCGAGGCGTACGCCGTCGAGTTTGGCGCATGCGCGGTGTGGAGTGGCGGATGAAACCGGGTGCTCTGCTGACAGGGCCATAGCCTTCTCCGGACTAAAGTCGAGGCTCGAACGTGAAAGCTCCGCGTCCGGCGCGCGCATCTCTCTTCCCTGGTGCTGCTGCAGCTGCTGTTGCCAGCATGTTCCTCACTCGCTCAGAATACGACAGGTAAGTGCAGGCAGGACAAGCGGAAGCGGGGCCTGGTTTGGCTGGGGCTGAGTCACTGCAGAAAGGCCTTCCTTTCCGACCGACTCGTCCAAAGACTTCGGAGGGAGCTGAAGCGACCTCCCTCCGCAAGCTCGCCGGCCTCTGCTCAAGGATCTCTAGTGGTGGTTATGGGTGCTTTTGGCTTTTTTCTTTGGAAAGGAAGCACTTCGGTCGGACCTCGTGCCTAAATATGCCTGGGAATGGAGAACAGTTTGCCCGCGCGGAAAAAAGCCCGTCTTTGCATTTGCGGTCTACAGTTTGGAGCGTAAAGCGCTCCTCGTATGAAGTTTCCCTGGAGGAGGTGTCCCTCTTGTGCTGTCCCGCAAAAGCTTTTCGCCGGCGGAAAAAGTAGCTTTACTTAAATTGAAGTGCAAAATTTAAGCACTATGGCGGTAAAGAGATTTTATGTGTATTTGAAACAGTAACTGTTAAAGTTTCCAATTACGTTTATTCTGAATACTTAATTTCAGTTTGCTCATTCTTTGTAGGGTGCTTGTTCATAGATTTTCGATTTGCCTTAACTATGTCTGCTCGTTACTGGATAAAAGAAAATAGGAGGGATTGTGACATTTCTCAAGTTTATTAGTCAGAAATCGGACTATTTCGATCCTTTTGAATACTTTTGCTACCGGTAATTCATTAAAGTATTCTTATTCGCAGCAGACTGGGCCTAATTGTGTTGTGAAATTACTGTGTATTCAAGGCCAGTACATTTCCTTAGTCATAATGATGATCCTCAAACTTTTGCTTTCGGTTATGCTTATCAGTGATTGGACCAGCTCACTGAAATCAAGTATTGTAATACTTCATTGTTGAATAAACTACTACACAGTAGAAAAACTATGCAATAAACTTTGCCAAGTACTTTTGGAAATACCTGGTGATATTTCTCAAGAAGAAAAAAATTAATTTGGTGGTGACTTTTATAAATCATTTCATACATTTAGTTTTTGCTCACATTTTGCAATATCTTAAAACTCTCAGTCCCTACTGTCACTGTTTTGTTTCAAGTCATGTGTTGACTTAACAAACTTCTTAAAATTGGGTTATCTTTACATTCTGGAGAAAATAAAAAATTTCTGAGAAGTTTGGAGTTTAAAACTTACTAGACCGCTAAATAGAATGCTGCCTATTTGGGAAAAGTAGGGTTTCTTCTCCCCCCTATATTAGTGGATTTTTTGGGGGGGGGGGCTATAAAATGTAAGATATTTAAGATATGAAGATTGAATAGCTGCTACAATAGATAATACATACCTGTAGTTGCCAGGTCTGGAAGCTGTTATATCTTTCATGAATTTATCCTGTTTTTCTCTGAAAACACCCTTGTTGGTTATTTGCAACAAGTCTAGTTCAACTAGAAAAATATTTTGTCTTTACTTGAAATCAAACTGTATTGCATAAGTCTGATTCAAAATCTAAATTCTAGTAAATGTTCAGTGTGACTCTTGATTCTTTCCTTTCTCTTCTAGAGGCGTGAACACTTTTTCACCAGAAGGAAGATTATTCCAAGTGGAATATGCCATTGAAGCTATCAAAGTACGTTTGAAACTATTGTGCAAAAACTGTTTGATAGACTGGATGGACTGGAATGGGGGAATCTCAGAACAGTGAATGAAGATTGAGAATACAGTTTGAGAATAGTGTTTGAGCAATACTATCCAATTCTTCTACACTTTCTTTGAAGTAATGCTGAGGTAGCTTTTGCGCAGTCATAATAATTGTCCTACTTTCCTTGGTTGAGACTGGCAGTGTTGCGTGTCATATTCTTTAATTTACCCAGTTGCATCTAATGGAATCTCTGTGAAATGTTAAACTAATATAAATAACTGGGATAATGTGATGGGTCCTGTTGAAAAGTGCTCAGGAATTAGTTGTTTAACATTTTGTACATAATATTTTGAATTCAGTTTCATAAGAATAAGCTACTTATATTTCTTTATATCTGAACATGGTATGGTTACTGAAACAATGAGAAAAATCATTTCCCAATTTGATTATATTACTTGATTTAGTAAGTAATTTAGTATGCCGAAACAGGAACATCAAGTTATATTGCATTGAGAACCAGTCTGCTGTAGTGAGTGTGGACTAGGATTACAGTGATATAGGTTAGTGTTGTTACTAAACCATGGAGGTTCAATGTGTGACTTTGGGCCAAACAGTGCAGCCTAACTCATGGTTGTAAGGGGAAACATTAGGAGGGATTGCTTTATATATAACCTGAGCTTCATAATCCAGAAGAAACATTTAAAAGATAGGATAATAACAGTAACTACTGGAGGCTTTCAAATTCCTGCAAGGGTTCTTGTGCTTAGAGGAAATGTTACCTTTTCAGTGTATTGCGTGTTAGTTTTCTTTGCATGCTTCTTGTTCTGTAATAGCATCCCCATGGTCACATGAAAAAAATGTGGGCACTTGGCAATTGGCATGTATTTAGAACAGTTGCAGCATCCTGGGGTCATGTGATAACCATTTCTGACCATCCCAGGTGCCTTCTGACAAGCAGAGCCAGTGAGGGGAAGCCAGATTTGCTTAATGAATGTGTGATTTGCTTAATAACTGGCAAAAAGTCATAAAATCAGGTGTAGCTCACTTAACGAATGCCTTGCCTAGCAGTGGAAATTCTGGTCCCAATTACGGTTGTAGTGTCGACTACAGTCACAATGGACTACCTGTGGGATTATTATTTTTGACATGGAGATAATGCTATCATTTTGCACTGAATATAACTAAATTCAGCTTTCCTTATTCTGAACATAGCTGCACATGAATGATTAGTAGACAATCTTTAAGCATTCCATTAGACTTTCCCAAATGGGCCAAATGTAGCAGATTTAAGTGTGGGGATGTCTTAGAACCACTTGAAAAATGCCTACGGATTAGCAGGAAAGTTATCATGTCCTGGTCTACTTTTATTGCCCGAGAGCTTGGGTTGGAGTGCACAATGTTTTGAATTGGCTAGTCCATGTCAGAATTGTAGACCCCCCTATATATCTGTAAAAAAAGAGGAGGGGGGAAAGCAAATATTTTGCTGTTTGTATGCAGCTTAGTATACTAAGTATTGACTCATCAGTGCCTACAAGTTTAATTAACGATATGTACGTAGTTCCTTGTTAGAGCTACCAATGAAGAAGAAGGACCAAGGACTCCTTGCTAGAGCTGCATGTCTCTCTGAGAAATTGATGACAAACATGATTGACTATAGACTATTCATAGCTGGTATTATGAGCATCTTATCTGTTGTTTCAAAGTCATACTGATTTAAACTAATGCATGCTATTCATTAATATTTAAAAATATGCTTATTTTAAAATAGTTTGTATCTGTTCTATAGGGCCTTTTTCAGAGCCAAGCCAGATCCTTATTGTTCTGAAGATAATTGAGTTTAACATCAAAAAATAACAGTTGCAAATAATCTGAAGCAAATTACACTGCTATGAGAAGATGCATGATATATTTTTATACAAAATGATCTTGGGGATTTCTTGAATGGGATGAACTTAATCATATAAGGGCTTGACAGGAGTTATTGTATGTATTAAAAAAGAATTGATTATCAGATCATGGAATGGGACAACTTGCTGTGACCAGTTCAATGTGGCCGGCTCACCATTGCCAAGTCGCCTCTGCCAACAAATCACTGTAGGACAGCTCCACACAGCCAACTTGCCACGGGGACAATTCTCTGCAGGCGGCTGGAGGGAGAGCTGAGTGGCTGGGCGAGTGAGCAGGTGTGCAGAGTGGTAGTAGTGGCCAGGGGCATCCTATTCTCACACACACGGCTGCTGCCGGCACTGCTGCCACCAAGCTCCAGGCTGAAGAAGCCTGGAACAGCGGCAGCAGTGGGTGGGGCAGGCAATGGGGAGGGATTGGTGGGGGGGCATCCTATTTTCACATCCCCTGCTGTTGCTGCTGCAAGGTCCTGGAGCTCAGAGTGGTGGGGTGGGTGAAAATAGGACGTGCCCAGCTGCCACCCACCCAGCACACTGCCAAACTGCCTGAACTCCGTCACCATTGCTGAACAGGTCAAATTTCGAACAGCCAGAGCTCAACATAGCAGCAGCAGCAGCAGCAGCAGCAGGATGTGTGAAAATGGGATGTACTGGCCTCTGAGACCACTCTGCACTCTCCCCGTTCACTTACTTGTCTACCTGTCCGGCTCTCCCTCCAGTGGGAAGCCACCGTTCTGCCCACCTGTTTGCCTGCCCACCCAGCTCTCCCTCTGGCCGGCTGTGGCAAATTGTCCCTGCGGTGAGTTGGCCGTGTAAAGTCCTGTAGCAACTTGGCAGTGATTTGGCAGAGGTGGCTTGGTGAGCTGGCTGTGCCAAGTTGTCGTAGACCCATCAGATCAATAGGTACAGTTAGTGCAGTTTGTCAAATGTCACATATTGGCTTAGGATGAGAGACTAGTAATAGTGAATGAATGGTAAAAAGTTTTTCTCCCTAATCCATGATAATCAAAGATGGTCCAATTATTAGCATACCTGCAGTTTGAGAACAAAACATTGACGATTGATTTAAATGTTTCCTCTCCAAAGCTGCCCTTTCTCCTTATTTTATATAAACGTAATGTTGAGGGAGTTGTTTGAGAGGGTTATGCCATTATTTGCCATGATGTATCTGTTATTGCACAATATGTCCCTATA